GGGGAGAAGGGTGCAACAATGAATGGAATTCCAAAATCTCTGTAGATGTTCATTGAAATGAAAAACAAACAAACAAACAAAAAAAAAAGTGTCAAAGTAAAAAACAAAACAAAACACAAACTACTTCAGTATACTAACCAAAATAAGAGCATGTACAATTCAAAGTGATCTCACAATTTAGAACCACAAGCTTATGTTTATGAATGAGAAGTGTTTATTGTTAGTTTGAACAAAAATAAAAGCATCAGCTTATAAAAAAACAAAACAAAATTATTTTAAAAACAGTATTGTCTCATAGCTGGTCCCCTCCTCGCCAACCCATATCTAAACTTCAGCTCTGCCGGAATTGAACATGCTGCTCTACAGAATTCTGAGGGTTCATGTTTGATTTCTTGACTACCAAGGTCGAATCTTAGGACTGTATATATAATAATGTAAAACCTGTTGCTGAAAAAATGTGTGTTGCTTTTTGCTGCTCTGTTTCTTCTGCATTGAAGTTAGTTTTGCCATCCTCCAGTTAAATGTAGTGTTATCCATAGATTATACATAACTACATCTATTGCTTTTGGCAGTAAATCAGGATTTAGTTGTAATTTTCCAGCTGTGAAAATGTTGCCTCGTATTTAAAAGGGTTTCATGAATGGAAACCTAAAACTGAGCTCATTAGTGACAGCCCGGCTTTCCTCACGTCCTCCTTCACCCCACCTGGGCTCCCTCCACTGTAAGGGTGCTTATTCTTGAACACAAGAGAATCTTAAAACAAGTGAGACCTGCTGTCTTTACTAGAGCGACAGCAGTTGTTACACTAGAGCTTTTATTTTCCTCTGTAGCCTTTTAGGAAAAGCCACCTTGGATTTGTAAATCAAGCTGTAACTTTTTGATGTCTGGGTACTCATATGTCTTAGAGCTAGGCTAGGTGTCACTTGGTGTGTGTGTGTATAAGTGAAGTATAAAGCATGCTCATTCCCTTGATCTCTCTGAAGTAAGAGGCAGGAGGATTGCAGTGCTGCTGACTGGGAGGGTCTGTCAGCACGCATTGAAAGGCCCCATTTTCACAGATGTGTAACTTTTAATAATCCAGATGCAACCATTGGAAGTATTTAATATGCAATGGGTAGCACCTTAACTAATTAATCTGCATAGGAAGGGTCTCCTGGTGTATTTAATAAGTCTAGAAGCTCTTCAAGCATTAAACTCGAGTTGACGTTTTCTTTCATTTCTTTCTATGTCAAAAAAAACCACTCTTACGATGGAACTGAAGTCTGTAACAAATGGTACATTTGGGCCTGTTAATCTTCGAAGCTTCCAAATGGTTTGTATTTTGAGGTGCAAAAAAAATGCTGCAGATCTAGATCTGTATATATTTAGTAGGTACTTGAAAGATGTAGGCATTATTTATAACTGAAGAGTATTACACTTACTCTTGTTAAATAAATACTCTTTGCAACTTGTATACATTTTTGGAGGTAAAAGCTCAAAAGTAATGTAAGCATTGCATAATGTGGCAGTTGTGTAATTTACATAATCTGATGCATGAATCAGAATTTTTATATAATTCAGGATTATTGATTTATTATAATTAAAGTGTTTAATCTTAAAAAACACCAAAACCAAAAAAACAGGTCCCGGCGCGGCCGACCCAGGCCCGCGAAGCCATGGGCTCCCTGACCCTGCCGCCGCCAGTGCGCGTCTCCAGGAGGAGAAGGTGTCTTCTCCTGGCTATATCAGTGAAGTAAGCAGCTGCAAGTTAGATGAAGACAGCACTGGTAAATTAAAAGACAGACAGAGCAGTGAAGTCTTGGTGCATAAAAATGACCTTCAAAGTGAGGGATTAAAGAGAACTGAGAGCCGGAGCAGAACAGCCAGTGGCGGGGAGCCCCGCTGGTCTCACCAGGGACCTCTCCCTCCAGGGGACCCAGGAGGGAGCCACAGTGGGGACAAGGCTGATGGTGCCATCAATGGGGTTGGCCCCACTGCTGCTTTGCAACCCACTGGGAATCCCAGGCCCCAGTACGGTGGTGAGAACTCCTCGGACAATACTGCCAATGACAGTCTCCCGATGCTTCCCTTCCTTGAAGGAGCGGACCCCAGGAAACAGGATGGTATGTTACCAGCTGTAGAAGACACCCATGTCATCCAAAATGGAGACTCCGGAGTATCTTCTAATACAGAAAGTCTTGCCTTGGATGTATAAGACCACATCACACAGATACCAGCTCCGGATTACCCTCAACTTTGGGGCTCAGCTGTAGACAGTAGTGATCATGAAGAAAAGGATTGTCTTTTCCAGAACCATGCAGAAAATAAACATCTGGATGACATTGTCCTTCATGGCATGGATCCGTCTACCAGGGAGAGGTGGGATTCGTTGAGCGAGGGCATGGCAACAGAAGTTCTAAGTGGCTCCTTTGAAGTGGAGGACATTGCTCATGCTGTGCCTGTGGTTGATGCTAAAAGTGTACAGGAGGGTGTCCATGGCTGCAGTGGGGATGGGAATGGAGAGATGGTGGAGGAGGATGCAGCAGTGGTGGAAGCACTTGCTGCTCTAGAAGCTGTTACTGCAGGAGAAGATACTGATGAGGTATATTAGGGGAGCGGGCTGCCAGGCAAGGACACTGCTGTGTGCACGTAGCTGAGGATGAGGGATGCCTTTCCTTACATACAGAGCTGTAGTCCATCAGTGCAGCCGTGCTGGTGGTTTACACCCAACCTTTGCTTTATTGTCATACCTGTGCCATTCTGCTTGTTCCATATTTGGACATCATTCTGTTTAGCTGAGCCATCACATAGGACATGAAAAGGAAAAAAAAATCAGAGTGGCTATCACACCCAAGACCACAGCAGACAAGCCACCTGTTCGTTGCCCCTCAACGTTCCTCAGAATAGCCAATGTTCACAGCAGTGTCAGGTCAGTCCCAGAATCACAGAGCGGACTGTGTGACTGTGAATTCCCCATCTTGCTTTTGAGAACCAAATGTTGGACTGAACCTGGTCAAGGTGATGGCCCAGTGAAAGTGCCTACTGTATACCCCGGGCAAGGCTTACCTTCGGGGACAATCACCCAGGGAAACTGATAACTAACCATTTGTTTATCCATGAGTGCAGCTCCGCAGTTTTCTGGGTAGAGCACAAGTCACCAGTAAACAAATGGTCACTCATTAGCTGTGAGATTGAAATACTTTAACCTTAACTTTTTTACATGACTACTTTTTAATCTCCTTTGGGAGTGGGGAAGCTAGCCAAAGTAAGTCTTAAAATGTCTTGGATCATATTTGAGTCTTAAGTCCATGAAGTTTGGAAGAGGAAAGGAAAACGTGGATTGTCATATACCATTAAATGCCTGATTCTGACTAAAATAAACCATATGTATTTGTCTTAACTAAAAAAAAACAAAAAACCCAAGTTGTGCCAAAAAATCTGGAGAACAACCACTTCGTCAACTGACTGGAAGAGATCCATATTTGTTCCCATTCCAAAGAAAGGTGACCCAACTGAGTGTGGAAACTACAGAACAGTGTCATTGATTTCACAAGCAAGCAAGATTCTACTGAAGATTA